ATGCCAAACGCTATAGTGAGAATCCACCCGTGCGCCGCATAGACTGTCTCGGGATTGGTTTTTGATTTCCCTGACTCGACTGTGCCTGTAACGAAGTTGATTCTAATGGAGCCTCTGGTGGGTGGAGGGTGGTGAGAGGGAGGGGGGAAGGAGGAAGTGGGGGATTGGCTTTCAATTTCCCTGACTCGACTGTGCCTGTAACAAAGTTGATTCTAATGGAGCCTCTGGAGGGTGGTGGGCGCAGGGCAAAGGGAGAGGAGGAAGCGGGGGATCGGGGCATTGGGAGGTGTGGTGAGCAGTGAGCAAGCGGGACAAGAAAGTGCCTGTAACGAAGTTGATTCTGATCGAGCCTCTGGTGGGAGGTGAGCGTGGAAAGGGGGGAGGGCAAAGTGGGGGATTTGGGCAGTGGACATAGAGGCAATGGGAGGTGAGGTGAGCAGTGAGCAAGCGGGACAAGGAAGCGCTTGTAACGAAGTTGATTCCAATGGAGCCCCAGGTGGTGTGTGGTACGCATGGGAAGGGGGAGCGGGGGAAGCAGGAGAGTGGGTCAGTGGATGGGAGGTAAAGTGAGCAAGTGGGACAAGGAAGTGCCTGCAACAAAATTGATTCCAATGGAGGGTGGGTGGTGAGCAGGGGAAGGGCGGAGAGGGAAGTGGATGGGGATGGGGGCAGCGCAAGTGAGCAGGACACTATTTTTTCTGTGTGTGTGTGTATATATATATAGTATATATTTATATATTCAACAGGGACTCTAGAGTGTGACTCAATTTAAATGACTTTTTTTTTTCCACTTTTTTTTTGTCTTGAATAAAAACCGACTCAATCGAGTCAAGTGAAAACAAAGCTCGGGTGAAGGAACGAGAGAAGGCCGAGCACGACAGCCCTTCACCCATGCGTTTATGCGTTTATGTGCCCACTCACTCATTCGGCCCGTGGTCGTCCAGTTGCTGCGAGTCGGAGCGAGAGAAGGCCCAGAGCACGCTGGTGGCACCGCTGCTGCTGATGGGGACCGCTCCCACCGAGAGGGGTCGCTCGAAGCTGGAGGATGGGGGAAAGGGACATGGTAGATGAAGATACGGGATATGGTTGAAGGGGAAAGATACAGATGGGATCACGAACAGGACCGACACATGACCAACACGACAGACATGACATGGCACATGTGATGACCAACAGGACAGACGTGACAACCGTTGTTGTTCTTGCACCTAAGAACCAAACAATTATACCCTACTCCAAAACATCTACCAAGGTCAAACCCTCTCAAATGCAGGGATTGTACAGGTACACGAGATAAGGAGCATTATCGGCAAATGCCGAATGTTTTGAAAATAATGGGTCTTCGTTGGATACACCCTCTGAAGTCGCTGGCAAAGCCGCTTCTACCCTGTGGCGGATTGATCTGGCTTGTGCTCGCTGCAAGGCTATCGAGACACGAAGTGTGTATGAACTCTCAAATGCAGTAGCGAGTACACTGTTTGCTGCCCCATAATCGACACGACGGTGACTGCAATCCCGCAAGAAAGATATGAAGGCGCTGCCCAAGCACCCGAACGTTTCAAGTACGAGGGGGATGAGTTTGACTGCTGGCCGATCGCGTAGTGCTTTGGCGTAGTGAGACTGTTTTTCTGCTTCCCGCTGTTTCGCTACTAGGCCAACTGTGTGGGTGACTGTAACAGGCTGAGGGTTGTTGGAGGTCAGCTACTGAGACATCTAGTGCCCACTTAATGCCCGCACATGGATCAAGGCAGGTGACATCGGGAATGGCATCTGGTAGTATCGTGGGGTCCTCTACACGAACCGTGTAGCTGAAGTCCCTAGTTATCCTGACTAACTCGTGTTTTACAGCATCGTGCACACGGGTAGGCTCGCACAGGTTTGCCAGCGGCGACTGGCATGAGCTGTTTCAAGAGACACTCACGTCATACAGCCCTGCTACGCACCCAGCATCCATCTCCTCTACACGCTCAACCTCTGATGAAGCACGGATACAGCGATGTGTTCGATTTGCCTCAATTGGAGAGTGGTCACGCGCCTATGCAGCCCTACAAACCAGAGAGCTTGCACAGCAAACAGCAAAAACAGCTGACAAGCTACAGGTCAAACATCCCCCCTCCACCCAACCAATTCCTCCCTAGGTCGATTTATTCAACCTTATGGAGATTTCGCAACTGCCCCTAGAATTCCTTAAGTACGCTATCCGCACCATGACGCGGGGGGCAGCGGCAAGGGATTCTGGATGGCTGGCGGAACACCTGCATGATACCTTCCTCGCACATCCCTTCCTCCTTCCTGTGCTAAACAATTGGCTGGCTGGCAAGGCTTCTTCACGCTTCACTCCCTTCCTAACATCATCCACCCTCATTGCTCTCAAGAAGTCTAACGCAGACGTCCGCCTTATAGCATTCGGTGAAGTGCTCGGTCGCCGCCTTTCACGTTGTGTCACTTTGATGTTGAAGCAACAAATGCGGTCGCAATTTCTTCCTGATTTGCAGTTAGGAGTTGGAATCTCCACGGGCATTAGTTCTCTGGTCTTTGGCATTCGGTCCTCCTTTGAGCTTCATTCAGACTGTGCTCAGCTGAATGTTGATGTTGCGAATGCTTTTAATTCATTTCATCGCGCAGCCATGTTCAATGCTCTTCAATCTTCAGATTTCTCCTGCCTCATTTCATTCTTCCGAATTTTCTACGCCAGTCCCTCACCTCTCCTCTTCCACTCCGCCCATTGCTTCACACGCTTCAGTCGCGGCGCGGGGTCTACCAGGGGGATCCGTGTGGACCCTTCCTGAACCCCGCGCTGGGACTGAAGCGTGCGAAGCAAAGGACCTGAGTGGAAGAGGAGAGGCGAGGGGCTGGCGCAAAAGAGCCGGAAAAAAAGGGTGAGGCAACATAAATCCGAAGCTTGAAGAGCGGTGAACATAGCTGCACGATGAAATAAATTAAAAGCATTTGCAACATCAATGTTCAGCAGAGCCCAGTCTGGATGAAACTCAAAGGAGGACCGAATGCCAAAGACCAGAGAACTAATGCATGTTCTAGACGCCGACTCTTAACTGCAAATCAGGAAGAAATTGCGACTGCATTTGTTGCTTGAACATCAAAGTGACACAACGTGAAAGGCGGCGACCGAGCAATTCACCGAATGCTATAAGGCGGACGTCCGCGTAAGACTTCTTGAGACCAATGAGGGTGGATGATGTTAGGAAGGGAGTGAAGCGTGAAAAAGCTTTACCAGCCAGCCAATTGTTTAGCACAGGGAGGATGAAGGGGAGGAAGGAGGGATGTGCGAAGAAGGTATCTTGCAGGTGTTTCGCCAGCCATCCAGAATGCCCTGCCACTGCCCCCCGCGTCATGGCGCGATAACGTCTTGAAGTAGCTCTAGAGGCAGCTGAGGGAGTTCCATGAGGGTGAATGAGTCGACCCAGGGAGGAACGGGTTGAGTTAAAGGGGGATGCTTGGCTTGTAGCTTGTCCACTGTGTCTGCTGTTGGCGGTGCTAGTTCGCCGGCTTGCAAAGCTGCATAAGCGTGCGACCACTCCCCGACTGAGGCAAAGCGAACACAGCGTTGTATTCGTGCGTCATTAGAAGTCGAGCGTGCCGAGTTGATGGTTGCGTTGCAAGGCTGTATGCCATGAGGATTTCTTGAAACAGCTCATGCCAATCGCCACTGGCGAACCTGTGCGCATGTTCAATGCACGCTTTGGTCTGTGAGGTGAGAGTGTCATTGTCGGGTTTGCTGAGGACCATGCGGGGAAAGGCAAGTAAGAGGAATGATGCTCCGTCATCGAAGGGGGTTGTCCACGAGGCACTGCAGCACTGGGAGAAGGGCCTCGAGGACGGGGACACGTGCTCGGTCCGGAACCTCAACAACGGTGGTGAAGCAAACTCTGCGAAGAAACGGTCCCACGGCCAAGAAGCCGCGGCCGTAATGGTGCGATGTGTCTCGGGTGGTGTAGATGGCACAGGGGTGAGCTGCGCTTCCAACTGAGCCTTGTGGTGTCAAGCAGCTGCCTTGCACAACTTCTCATGACGCGCGCGGCCTTGTGACGCGATGCATTGCTTGGAGCAGAACCGACAGTGAAAATCAGATGCTGAAATGGTGGTAAAGTCTGTGTGGGCAGTGGTGTGGTAGTTGCAGAAGGTCCTGGGCCTAGAGGTGTAGAGAGAAGGGAGCTCTGGTTGGTGGGGCGGATAGCGGGCGTGGCTGCTGCTGATTTTGCTGCTGGTGAATGTGTGGTTGTTGTCTTCACTGCTACTGGCTGCGTGGCTACTGTATTCACTGCTGCCAGTTGCGTGGCTACTAACTTCACTACTGCTGACTGCGTGGCAGTTGATTTTGGTGGCCCGTTGCCGTCAACTACCATGGGCGCCAGCTGCAAAGGTGGTGCTCTGGTAGCCGCTGCAATGATGCACTCGTCCAGTGGTGAAGACTGCACTGGAGGGATTAGGAGATCCATAGCTACAAGGTTAGGAAAATCATCCATCTCGTCGAGTTGAGAGGTACCAGAGCGCTGACCTGGCTGCTTACTACGTGCGTCCCGATGGCGTTTGCCGTTCGACACCATGGGAAGTGGGCGAGAGAGGTAAAGGAGAAGTCGGTAGCTTGACTGTTCGAGTGGATATGAATTTGTAGATCGAAGTAGAGAATTGAGTGGATTCTAAACAAGTAGGGATGAAAAGAGTAGGAAGAGGAAATGAAAGCTATTGACAGATCTAAATTTTGATGGCTGGATGTTGCTGTTAGCGTGGAAAACGGTGCGAAATTCAGGGTACGGAAGTGTGCGGCGGCGAAGAGCAAATTTTTTACATCTCGACGTGTTTGGCGCCTTAGACCAACTAGGCCATCCTGACACATTTAGCAGATTCATGCAGCTCTCATGACCGAATCTCGTGATTGCTGCTCTCTTCTCCCGTTGGGCAGGAGAAGAGCTCAGAGAGGAGAGGAAACACTGAATCCGACTGCTCGGGCTGGAGAATGAAATCTGAAAAACGCCCCACACTCACGTAATTGTTGTTCGGCCATTTGCTGTGGTGGTCGTCGTGTTGGTAAGCTCGGACGATGACGTCAGCGCCACGTCAGTCAGGCCGTAGCCGCTCATGTGATAGGCTCCCACCGCCGCCCCGTTGGCGAGACTGCCAGGTGGCAGATTCCCAATGGCTGCGTCAGCGAGGTACATCTTGCTGCTCTTGGACCATCCGATCGCCACCCAACCAGACGTCGCCACGTCAGCAGCCATTGCTACAGTGGTTGCCCCGGTCTTCCAGTGAAGGATGAAACTGGGAAAAAAAGAGCAGGCGGGGGAGAGGGGGAGGAAGGGGGAGATGGATGAGGGAGAGGAAGGGTGGGGAAGCTTTGAGACGCCTCAGAAGCTGGCAAAGTCAGACTATCAGAGAGCTTCCCCCTGGCTGGCTTGTCTTACATGCTAAAAAAACGACTACTTGCCCCTTCTCAACTACTCAACTACCTTAACAAGCTGAAAGAGCGCTCTGCCTTTTGCGTCAATTCTCCTCTCTCAATACTCACACTGCCCCACCACTCACTCTTTTCCTTTGAGCTGCACAGAGCAGGCATATCCCGGCAGAGTGGACGGCTGGCATGCCTGGCTGCCACTCCCAGACGCAGCAGCTTCTGCTGACGTGGACCCTGATGATTGGCTCCCCTTTTCCTCCTCCTCACCCTCATCATCATCATCGTCGTCGTCATCATTACTCCAATCATTATCATTGTCGCCATCATTATCATCATCATTATCATCATCATTATCATCTGAGCTTGAGGCGCCAGCAGCAGGTGCGGTCTGACACGTGAAGTCCACATTCATTGAACCTCTGGTTGTTGGGGGAGAGGCGGGGGGTGGGTAGGTGGGGAGGGTGGGGATGGGGGGTATAACGACACGTGAAGGTGTGAATACAGGCGCTCACGGACAGGTGCAGTCTGACACGTGAATTCTACATCCATTAAGGGGAAGGGGAGGAAAGGGGGGGGGGGGAAGGGAGGACGAATAACGACAGGGACATGGGTGTGTGTGAGGACAGCCGCATATAGACAGGTGCAGTTTGACACGTGAAGTCTACATTCATTGAACCTCTAGTGTGTGTTGAGGGGGGGAAGGGGGGAGTGGGGGTGGGAAAGGCATAACAGCAGGGAGAGGGGTGTGTGTGAAGACAGGCGCATGACAGGTGCAGTTTGACACGTGAAGTCTACATTCATTGAACCTCTGGGGGGGGAGAAGGGGCACAGCTACAGTGGGGAGGACGACAGGGGCAAAAAAATGCAGGCTAAGGGGCATAAAGACGGGTGGTGCTGCCTGACACATGGGCCGTCCACATTCATTGAACCTCTGGTGGTACTTCCTCGTTGTTGCTGTGCAAGGCCAGCTCAGTCAGTCTACATTCATTGAACCTGCTCTATCAGCTGAACTTCAGCTATGAAGCTCAGCTCAGCATACACAAACCAGTCACCATGAACACGACTTCTGAAGTGTGACGCGCACCCGTCTATATTCATTGAATTGACCCTGTTGTGGTGCTTGCTTACACGTTGTTTCCATGGAAAGCCAGCTCAGTCGATCCAGACTCAGAGAAAGCCCAGATGAGGCTGTTGGTGCTGCTGGAACTTACCAATATCCCCCCGCCCTCCTTTCTTCTCATCCAGTCCCTTGTTCACTCACGCGTTGTTGCCGAGGAAAGCCAGCTCAGTCGATCCAGACTCAGAGAAGACCCAGATGAGGCTGTTGGTGCCACTGAAACTTACCAATATCCCCCCCACCCCTCCCATCCACTTCTCCTCACTCACTCACTCACTCATTCACTCCCTCACTCACTGGTTGCGACCGTGGAAAGCCAGCTCAGTCGATCCAGACTCAGAGAAAGCCCAGATGAGGCTGTTGGTGCCACTAAAGCTGACTGGTGCTGCCCCTCCGTCCCCTTCTGATCGAGAGAACCTGCAGAAAGGAGAGGGTAAGTTGACAAGGGGAGGAGAAAGCCCAGATGAGGCTGTTGCTGCCATTGAAACTCACTGGTACTGCCCCTCCGTCCCCTTCTGATCGAGAGAACCTGCAGATAGGAGAGGAGAGGGTGGGAGAGGAAGACCAGGAGAGAATGGTGAGGAGGACGGACTCTAGCATTCATACACAACCGCCGTCACAATTCCCCCTCACCTCGTGTCATCCACATCCACATCCACATCCACATCCACATCCACATCACGTCATCTCGTTTCACTCCACTCACTTCAGTATCATGCCGCCGTTACTTCCAGGTGTGAACTCAGGCGTCCCAATCGAGAACCCATCAGAAGGCGCCACGTCAGACAGGCTGTATCCGCTGATGTGATACGCGCCGACGCTGCTTCCCGGAAGATTCCCGACCACGCAATCCGCGGGGTACATACGGCCGCGGTTTGCCGTCCAGCCGACGGAGAACCAGCCGGACTCGGCCCCACTGGCGGGTTTGGCTTCTAGTGCGATCTGCAGGCGCGAGGCGTTGAGGGTCCAGTGCAGCACGAGACTGGGGGCGGGGGGTTGGGAGGGGGGACGGGGGGTGGAGTGGGGTGGAGGGAGGAGGTTGGGGGAGGGGGAATGTGGGGAAGGATTAGGGTCGTGCGAGTTGGAGCTGCAGGCATTAGACGTTGCGCGCCCGGTGCAGCACGAGACTGGGCGTGGGGAAGGCGGCCGGGGGGAAGGCGGAGATGGAAGGGGAGGAAGAGGTTTGGGGGGGAGGGGGGGGAGAAGGGGTGGGGGTGGTGGAGGCGAGATAACTGACTGCAGGTGCAAACGAGGAAAGGGATGAGGATCCAATTCCCCAGAAACAGGACTAACTAAACTAATGGTGCAGCCAGGTTTGGTCGCGTTTCTTAGACGACCCGTCGTCTAAGAAAGATATTCATATATCAGATTAGTACCCGTCGTTCCGTTGAGTCAACGCGAGTCAAGTCAGCGAATCCCGGAATCAAGTATTGCACGTTGCACGACCTGGCGGCGCATGCACCCGCACTTGACCGAGTGATTCATCGCAATCTAAGCGGGTGCTTTCAATTTGTTTCCGTACGTTAATCAAGTCATTTACACGCGGCGACTCACCCGTTTCCCGACAGATCTACGGAATTGGCGAAGCCTGGTAGGGACGACGGTTCGCAAGACGACGCGTGATCTACGGAAGCACCGACCAACAGGAGGAGCATGGCACGTGCCAGCCACGCTTCGACCGCATGCACTGTTGATCTAGTCATGGCGAGTCGCCGGGTTCGTGGTTTCGCAGATCGATCTATTGAAGGGCGATCTAGAGGAGATTGTTACGAAGCGAATTAAGATGCGGACCGAGTCGCAGCTGGTGGTTAATTGTAACTTTCGGCGTGTTTCCCTTTTGCAATGCAGCAATGACATGCGCGACTCTGCAGCACGCTCTAGTGAAGCCCCCTTCACGAATACCCGGGGAATAAGGGCTCGAAACTCTACCGAGCGCGGCGACATAGGACCGTGTGTGGCTGGCTTCATGGCTACGTGCGGTGTCTGGTCTGGAGACTGAGGGTTCGACCTGGGGAAGGCGGGATCTGTTTGGATCTAGACAAGTAATTGAAGGGAAGTGCATTATTCAGTGCTGGTTTGGGTTGATTGTGGGTTTAGTGGGGTTGAGTGGGTGCAAGCCGAAGGAGGGTGTGAGCGTTTTCCAGCGCTCAATACCCTGCCCAACCGTTTTAGAATGTTACTTAAAACAAAAAGCATCCCACTGAGCCGCATTCAAACGTGTACTCTTTCGACATGCCCTAAAGACATCTGGCGGTGGCGGTGCGGCTCCATCGAAGGGAGGTCGAAAGTGCATGGCAGAGGAGGCGATGCGCTTGCAGTGCGGTATTTGTGGCTGTTGCCAGCATTGCAATGGGCGTGTGCCCGTAACCACAAATGACAAATGCGACCCGGGTTTTGAAGGCTGTGACACATGTTACAGATAACGTCGGTGGTACTTGATTGGACAGCACGAGCATTGCGCGCTTGCAATGGTTTCCCTCCGGCGTTGGATGCACACCCCACAAAAGATCGACGGCCACATTTCCCCATCACTGGTCGCGTAGTGGCTGTTTCTCTAAAGATACTCTCGATTCTCTTTTCCCTCTCCACTTCTTTATACGTTCACATAGCAAAGAAGAATCTCCTGACTTAATAACATATACCAATGCTGTGTGATCAGTTATCCAGACGACCACTGGGCCATGTTCTTATGAGGCCCAAAAATATATCTAAACAAGTGCTATATGATCAGTTGTTCTCAGGGCGACCACTGGCCCATGTGGTGTCCTTATGAGGCGCCAGAATAGCCTCCACTTCTTTCAGCATCGCCTCATCAATCCCTCGCTCGGCTGCTTCAATCACTGCTGCCACATTCTCCCGCACCTGCTCACACAACAAGTGAAAAGCGAGGGACACAGAGCTCATTGAGCACTTGATTCAGCATCATCCCGTTAATGCCTCGCTCTGCAGCCTCAATCACTGCTACTGCCACAGTCTCCCTCACCTGCACGCACAGAGAAGGGCAGGGGGCTTGGAGCTAGCATGGAACTTAGAATACTATCCAAGTGCGTATCTTGCACCCAGGGAACATGGGAATTGCTACCCAGCCCACACAGCAACACTTCAACGCCTCACTTCCCAATACTCCCAACATTTCGTCCCTCACCTGTTGCACCGTACTCATGCCCACAAGCGTCGTGCTGATGGCTGGGTTGAGCGTTGCAAACTGGAGGGCCAGTCGGGGTACTTAGTCTCTCTGCTGCTATGCACACACCACACCTTTGCTACTCACTCAACAACATTCTGACCCTCCTCACACAACAATACCAACTGGAGGGCCAGTCGGGGTACTTAGTCTCTCTGCTGCTATGCACACACCACACCTTTGGTAATCACTCAACAACCGTTTGATGAGCATCACATAACGATACATTGAATGCTTCTCTCCCCTCACCTGCTGCACTGTACTCATGCCCACAAGCGTCGTCGTGATGGCTGGGTTGAGCGTTGCAAACTGGAGGGCTAGACTGGGCACTCACTCGGTGTCCCTCCTGCTGATGCACACAGTTGCTACCCTGCTGCCTCCCACATAGCGACACTTCAACTCTTCTCTGCTCCTCTTCCTCACCTGCTGCACTGTGCTCATGCCCACAAGCGTCGTGGTGATGGCTGGGTTGAGTGTCGCAAATTGGGGGTCCAGTGCGGGCAATCACTATGCACACCACCACACCTTTTCCTACTGGTGATTGAATGCTTCTCTCCCCTCACCTGCTGCACTGTGCTCATGCCCACAAGCGTCGTGGTGATGGCTGGGTTGAGCGCTGCAAACTGGAGGGCCAGACCGGGCAATCAGTCTCCCTGCCTGCCGCAATGCACACAACACCACGCCTCTGCTAGCCATACAGCCACCTTTGAACGCTCCCCCCCTCACCTGCTCCACTGTGCTCATCATGCCCACAAGCGTCGTGGTAATGGCTGGGTGGGTTGAGCGTTGCAAACTGAAGGGCCAATCGGGGCGATCAGCCTCCCTGCTGCTACACACACCGCCACACCATTGCTACTCACACAACCACCGTTTTAAATGCTCATCACACAACGACCTTCAAACGCTTCTCTCCCCTCACCTGCTGCACTGTGCTCATGCCCACAAGCGTCGTGGTGATGGCTGGGTTGAGTGTTGCGAACTGCAGGGCCAGACTGGGCAATCAGTTCAGTCTCCCTGCCTGCCGCAATGCACACAACACCACGCCTCTGCTAGCCATACAGCCACCTTTGAACGCTCCCCTCCTCACCTGCTGCACTGTACTCATGCCCACAAGCGTCGTGGTGATGGCAGGGTTGAGCGTTGCGAACTGCAGGGCCAGCCGGGGCAGTGATGCTCCCCGCTGCTGACAGGCCAATGCTGCCGCCTTGCATGCATCCTGATGATAACCAGAGGAACAGAAGGAAAGATGGGTTCAGATGGGTTCGAGATGCATGCAAAATGAAAAGCTAGTCGGGGCAGCGATTCTCCCCCCTGCTGGCAAGAAAGAGCTGCCGCCTTGCATGCATCCTGATGGTAAGCAGAGGGAAAGATGGGTCCAGGTGGGTTGAGAGAGGTGCAAATGGAAGATCCAGCAGCCAGGGCAGCGATGCTCCCCGCTGCTGACAGGCGAGATCTGCCGCCTTGCATGCATCCTGATGGTTAGACAGACAGAGGGGAAAACAAGAGACAATTGTTAGAGACAGGGCAGCGAGGCACTGCCAAGCCGTGAGGGGGACTACCTTGAGGGGTTCGGGTGCAGGGTGCCAGGAAGGGGGGCCCTGGGGAGTGAGCAGGCCCATGGAGAGATGCGAGGCGCTGACTACCCCCACGGCCTGCTGCTGCAGCTATAAGGAAAGACAGCAGCTAGGAGAGGGGTTGCATACCTTGAGGGGCTGGGGTGCGGGGTGCCAGGAAGGGGGTCCCTGGGGAGTGAGCAGGCCCATAGAGAGAGGCGAGGCGCTGACCACCCCCACGGCCTGCTGCTGCAGCTATAAGGAAAGACAGCAGCTAGGAGAGGGGTTGCATACCTTGAGGGGCTGGGGTGCGGGGTGCCAGGAAGGGGGTCCCTGGGGAGTGAGCAGCTTAGTGGAGAAAGACGCTGGGGCGGCCCTGCGTCCTGCGTCCGGACGCAGCGTCCGGACGCAAAGACGCAGGACGCGCGTCCAGACGCAGGACGCAGGGGGGAAAAATTTTCGGGCAGACCGATTTTATTTTTTACCGCGATCGCGAAATTGACATTCGCGATTTCGTCGCGAATGTCATTTTCGCCAAAATTCGACCCCCCCCACTAATTTCGACCACCAAAACCAGCCATCTAACCACCCTTGGACTATTTGTGATGATGGAATTTTGCAACTCACCTTCATGCTCTAGTGTTTTGGGGAAAACTTTGTTTTTGAGGGGAAATTTTGCCATGAAAGTGTGCTACGGACCCCCCCCCCCCCTTTCCCTCTGCCCTATAACGTTTTTTGGGCTGCCCAGGGGTTTTTTTTGCCTGCCCGGACCTGCGTCTTTTGCTGCGTCTCAAAGGCCTCAAACTAGCGTCCTGCGTCTGGACGCATGCGTCCAGGACGCAGGACGCGTCTTTCTCCACTAAGGTGAGCAGGCCCATGGAGAGGGGAGAGGCGCTTATCACCCCCATGCCCTGTTGCTGCAGCCACGGCAGCAGCGGCTGGAGTGTGGTGTCGTTGAGTGAGTAGTGGCAGTAGGAGAGGACGAGATCGAGCGAGGCGGCAGGCACGCGGCGGAGAATCGATTGGTAGACGGAGAGAGGGAGGCTCAGAAGAAATGACACACCTTGAGTGGCTGCGGTGCGGGGTGCCAGGAAGGGGGGCCCTGGGGGGTGAGCAAGCCCATTGATAACGGAGATGCGCTCACCACCCCCACGCCCTGCTGCTGCAGCCACGGCAGCAGTGGCTGGAGAGTCGTGTCGTTGAGTGAGTAGTGGCAGTAGGAGAGTATGAGATCGAGCGAGGCGGGAGGCAGGCGGGGGAGAACGGATTGGTAGACGGAGAGAGGGAGGCCGGTGATGCCGATGAATCGGATCTTGCCGGCCGCTTTCAGCTCCTGGAGGGCCGGGATTGTCTCATTCACGATCTGGGGATGGGGAGGAGCGGAGGAAAAGGGGGAGAGAGAGGGGAGGGGGTTTGATGGCATGATTGATGGGAGGAGAGATGTCAGATGGGAACAAGGGAGCAGTGGGAGTAGCACTGAACAATGTCTAGATACAGAGTAGCTTTGAGTCAACTCAAAACTAGGAACAAGGGAGCAGTGGGAGTAGCACTGAACAATGTCCAGATACAGCGTTTGCAGCCTGGAACAGCTCTCCTCCACGCTTCTTCTGACCTGATCCGCACTGTCCATCTCTCACCTGATCCAAGGATCCAAATTCAATGTCGTGGCACTGCACGATATCCAGGTAAGGCGTTTGCAGCCGTGCACAGCTCTCCTCCACGCTCCTTCTCATCCGATCCGCGCTGAAGTCAAACTCGTCCTGCCCGTACCGCCCCACCTTGGTGGCAACCACACATACACACCCTTCCCCTCCTCTTGCCTCCTCACCTGATCCAGACTCCCAAACTCAATGTCATGGCACTGAACAATATCCAGGTAAGCTGTCTGCAAGCACCGACAGCTCTCCTAAAGCATCCCTCTCCCTCCCTCACCTGCCTGCCATTCCCTCACCTGATCCAGGGATCCAAACTCAATGTCATGGCACTGAACAATATCCAGGTAAGTTGTCTGCAGGCGCTCACAGCTCTCCTCCACACTCCTTCTCATCCGATCTGCACTGAAGTCGAACTCGTCCTGCCCGTACCGCCCCACCTTGGTAGCAACTACCACCTCCTCCCGCGGGCATGGCAGCGTGGCAATCGCCCTACCTAGCACCGTTTCAGCTCTTGTCGAGCCATAAAACCTGGAAGAGGGGGGAACGGAAAAGGGGGGAGAGAGAGCGAGGGGAATGGAGCACTGAAGTCGAACTCGTCCTGCCCGTACCGCCCCACCTTGGTAGCAACCACCACGTGCTCCCGCGGGCAGGGCAGGGTGGCAATGGCACGCCCTAGTATGGTCTCGGCTCGTGTGGATCCGTAGAACCTGCAGAAGTGGAGAGCCGCAAAGGCGGAGAGAGAGCGAGAGAGCGAGAGAGAGAGAGGGGCAGGAAGCACTGGAATCAATCAAGTCAAACTCGTCCTGCCCATACCGCCCCACCTTGGTGGCACCACGTCTCCCCGCACGCACGGCAGCGTGGCTATCGCTCGCCCCAGTACCGTTTCAGCTACCGTTTCAGAGGGTGGAGGGAGGGGCAACAAGCACTGAAGTCAAACTCGTCCTGCCCGTACCGCCCCACCTTGGTGGCAAGCAAGCACCGCGTCTCCCCGCGCGCACGGCAGCGTGGCGATAGCCCGTCCTAGCCCTGTCTCTGCTCAGGTAGACCCATAGAACCTGCAGGCAGGGAGCAGAAGGCGGAGGGAAGGGAGGGGAGCAAGCACTGGAACCAAACTCGTCCTGCCCGGGTGGAACCCGTAGAACCTGGAAGCAGGGGTACAAGGAGATGAAACACTGAGGGCGATCTCATCTGTTTTTGAGTCGACTCAAAAACGGGTACAAGGAGATGAAACACTGAAGGCGATCTCATCTGGGCTGGGCCGTACCGCCCCTGTCCTCGCGCCCTCCTACTCGTCGATCGCGTCGAACACACCTTTTATCAGCGACACATGACACGACCAACTAGACTAAGGACACGTACGGCGAGACGTCAAAGAGGTTAATTCCGAGTTTAACGGCCTCGTGCACGGCTCGCACGCCCTCCTCCTCGCCGATCTCCTCGAACACGCTCCCCAACGGCCACACCAGACTGACGCGAGTTACTATACTAGAGACACGTACGGCGAGACGTCAAAAAGGTTGATTCCGAGTTTCACGGCCTCGTGCACGGCCCGCACGCCCTCCTCCTCGTCGATCTCCTCGAACACGCTCCCCAACGGCGACGCGCCGAAGCTCACGATCGAGAGGTCCAGGCCCGTGCGACCCAGCGGGCGACGCGGCAGCGACATCGCGATCGCCGTCGCAGCGTCGTTCGCGGTTGAATGAGAGGCGGAAATTCGAGCGCGAAGGACGGGGAACGGTGAAGTTGAACGGGATGTGGATACTGCGAGGAAGGCGCGGTGGTAGTACGTGGGACGAGTGCAACGACGAGGAGCAGAGCTGAGGTGTACACGACGAGCTGCACTCAGTCGGTAGAGTTGGGTTTCCAACGATACGCACTGGTGTCGAGACTTTAAATTTCTTGCGGGGAAATTCAGGTGCATTCCTTGCTCACTCGGCTCGAGGAGAGAACGCGGCGCAGGGAACGGAGGAGCGCAGGAGGATATGATCAGCAAATACCCATGGTTCTTGGCGGAACTAGGATGAGCGCAGCTTTATCACTATGCAGGAACTTAGCGAGCCCCTGAGAAAAGCGCACCAACACCGTAACTGGGTAATGTGTGAGGCGCCGAGCTCGGCGAAATCGGCGACACTAATTAACCAATGAGCAGGAGATGAGCTGTGCCGAAATATTTCCGACTCGCACTGCACCTGGACATTCCGCGGTTATGTGACCTTGGTAACGCAGCGAAATCGATCCTCCGCAATCTGGTCCCGTTGCTTTCGTCAAGTCGCCAAAACAGAAGCTTGATACTTTTAGTGCTTACCTGATCGGATCATCTGAATCCTACAGAAGCTCTAGAATATTTAAAATACTCGTTCTAATACTTATATAAATGGCACAGAAGGTACAGACTTAGGTAATTAAACACGCGGCTGTAGGCATTTCTCTTCAGGCCGTCACCTCCTGGGCTCTTGTCTTGAGCCGTCTTGCTGCCAAATCGTCGTCTCTGGCCTTGCCCACTGGGAGCTCTGTCGCTCGACAATAACAGGATAACACAGGATTTTTAACAGTTTGGTAGTTGTTAGACAATGTGAGTCGAGCCGGAAACGGAACTGGCGCAATCTGGTAGCAGCTACGGAGGGGCCATTGATCCGAAGCGGCCTGGTAGTTCTTCAAGAAGGACACTGATCTGATTTTTTAGAAGTAGCTTGTCGAACCGCTCCGAGCAATGAACCGCGTGTTACAACGGACTGCTTCTTGAGTCAGCTTCTATTGCTCTGAAGCTGCCTGGTAGTAGGCGCAAATCTCGAGGGACATAAATCTGAAGTCTAGAAGTAGCTTGTCGAGCCGCTCCGGGCCATGAACCGCGTGTTACTGCGGACTGTGGGCATCATGGGAGGAGCCTTCGTGGCAGTTTCCGTCGCGTCATCGCTCTGTTTGAGAGCTGCGACTGCAGTGCTGGAAAAACGACGAGTGAGTCTGTCTGCTCGTCCCCCTCTCTCCCCCTTCCTCTTTCTTACTCCGTCCCGCCCTCTCCTCCACCGCAAAATTCTTTCCTCCCATCCCCTTTCTAATGTCGTCGCTGTGCCTGAGAGCTGCGACTGCAGTGTTGGAGAAACGACGAGTGAGTCCGTCTTCCCATCCCCCTCTCTCCCCCTTCCCCTTACTTACTCCGTTCCGCCCTTTCCCTCACCCCCTTATTCTCCCGCTCATCCCCTCTCTGATGTCGTCGCTTTGCTTGAGATCTGCGACTGCAGTGTTGGAGAAACGACGAGTGAGTCCGTCTGCTCATCCCCCTCCCGTCCCTCCCCCCTTTCCCATCCCCCTTTCCTCCAACCCTGCACCCTGCTTTCTCTATGGCCCATCCCCTTGCCCTCGTTGTTGCTTTGTCTGAGGGCTACGCCTGCGGTGCTGTAGCAAAATCGACAGCGTCCGCACTCCAATCCCCTTTCCCCACCCTCCCTCCCTCCCTCCCGTCCTTGCATTTCTGTTTCCCTCCCTCCTTTCCTCACTTACCTACTTTCTTATTTTCCCCTCTCCTTCTCTCCGTCTCTCCCTCTGTGTCTCCCTCCCTATCTAACCTTTGTTTCTCATAATGTGCTATCCCTTTTCCGTGTGAATTCCGCTTTTTAATTCGCTTCCCTTTCCCATGCGCCAGTGGAAGCTGTTTTACCCTTGTCATTTATGTTTTTTCAGACGTATCAAGAGTCGACTCAATAATTCCCATAAGCACCATCTTTCACCTCACTTCCCTTGCGCACATAGCCCAATATGGCCCTCCCTTGCACCGTCTTTCCAAGGCAGCTGGTTTAACCCATGCCACTTGTGGGTTTTCTGGGATGCGTTTTTTTTGCCGATATGCTTCCTCCCCATACCCTCCGTGTGTCCTGTCTTATCTCACTTCCCTTTCCCATCTGGCCCTAGACTGCCGTCCAAGCACCATGTGTGAAACGAAGCTTTTGTACCCTAGTCAACTGTGTGTTTTCGGACATTCAAAGATGCCCACTAACCCTATCTTTCAAGGTGACTTTTGAGTCGACTCAAAATTCTCCAAGCACCGTGTGTGAAACGAAGCTGTTGTACCCTTGACAACTGTGTTTTTTAACATTCAAAGATGCCCACTAATTCTATCTTTTAACAGACTTCCCTTCCCTACACAGGCCAAGACTGCCCCACCGTGCACCGTGTGCCAAGGCAAACGGTCCTACCTGTGTCAGTTGTGTCGATCTTTGGGGAACGCAATTCTGCCCATGCGCATCTTCTTGCATACCCCCCCAATAAACCCCATCTTTCAACCCCAATTCCCTTTCTCCACACAGGCCAAGACTGCCCCTCCTTGCACCGTGTGTCAAGGCAAGCGGTTTTACCCGTGTCAGTTGTGCCGATCAGCGGGGAAGATTCAGTGGAGTCCTCTAGCTGACCCTGTGCTGCCTCGACCATGCATATGCCCGACCTGCAAAGGCAACAAGTGCGTTATACTGTCTGTCGCCGTTTTTTTGCTTCCGTACTGTTCTGTTTTCTCTTTTTTCTTATTTTTATATTTTTTTCTTTCTTTCTTCATTGCTCATACCGATCGATGGGTGTTCTTTGTCGACATTGGATGTGCAGAATCCAAAAATGCTTGAATTGTGCTGGAAGGGGTTATGTTTAATAACTTCACAGGGTCCATTTCGTGTTTTGTTGTCTCTTTCCATGCTTCCTACAAATTGCAATGAACTTGTTTTATTGAACAAACATGTTCAAATGAAGAAAAGTGTGTCAATGTAGAAAGAATGCTACTCCGTCACCTTCATGTTGTAATGATATGGAATAACTCAGTAGTGGAGTCAAATTCTGCAGCGCACATACCACGCGATGATGATGGCTCTAGACTAGGAATAGACTGTGTTCTAGTATTTCAAAACACAATAAATTCCCTCAGCATGGCTACTGTTCCTTCCGCGCTCGTATCAGCTGCCTCTTCCCCCCGGGATTCCTTGGTCCTGCTTCTAATGAAGGGTCATCCAGGCAGCGGTAAAAGCACACTCGCTCGAAGCCTCGCGCGATCGTTACGCTGGCCGCTAATCGACAAGGACGTATTTCGCGACGCGACGATGCTTCTGGAACGGTTGGACGGACCGTGCGCGACTCCCGTTAACGCGCTTGTCCTGAACAGCCTATCATACGACGCCATGTGGCAGATGGCAGAGGTCCAGCTAGATCTAGGTTTATCCGTGGTCGTCGATTGTCCTCTAGCGCACGAGGCGCTTTTTAAAGCCGGCGTGGCTCTCGGTACGCGTGTCGGGGCTGAGGTTGCCTTGATCGAGTGCCACGTGTCGGATTTGGACACGTGGAAGCGGAGGATCGAGTCGCGTGCAGCTGCTGCTCTGTCTGACGATCAACCGTCAGAAAACGCCGGCAATTCCGCGGAAAGCTGCCGGCCGTCTGCAGCAGCAGCTGCCGGACAAGAAGCAGCAGCTGCTGCTGACGGCTGTATCACAGAAGCCAATTGGACCACCGCCAGAGACAGTTTCGAGACGTCTCGAATCCATGGTGAAACGGTGACAGGAGGAGCCAGGCAGGCTACAGAACGCAATCAGGAAAACGTAGTTGGACAGAGCTGTGATGATGACTTGAGTGTGCAGGAAAGAGGAGGGGAGAGTGAGAGAGCGAGTGAGAGAGCGAGTGAGAGTGAGAGTAGTGAGAGGCAACAGGCAGCAGGTAGCTTGAAGGGGAGATGGCACAAGCCTGCTTGTTGGGAAGACATGCAGGGACTGCTGGATAGGTACAATGGCTGCTGGACCTACCCCACAGGTTCGGTACCGAAGCTGATGATAGACACGGGGACAGTGGGCCCGGATGAAGAACTGACACTGGCTCTAGACTGGCTAGAAACTGCCCTGCTGCTGATTAGGAGAAAATGAGGGTAGTTTATTTTATCTCACCACTTGGATCTTCGCCTCATACCGTACAATAGTTGCAGTTGGTGCGAGCGATTATAAGATCAAGAGGCAGAAGGCAGCAGGCAGGGGTTAACTTGAAGGGGCGTTTGCAGAAGAACTGCTGGATAGGTACAACGGCTGCTGGACCTACCCCACAGGTTCGGTACCGAAGCTGATGATAGACACGGGGACAGTGGGCCCGGATGAAGCACTGACGCTGGCTCTAGACTGGTTAGAAACTGCCCTGCTGCTGATTAGGAGAAAATGAGGGTAGTTTATTTTATCTCACCACTTGGATCTTCGCCTCATACCGTACAATAGTTGCAGTTGGTGCGAGCGATTATAAGATCAAGAGGCAGAAGGCAGCAGGCAGGGGTTAACTTGAAGGGGCGTTGGCAGAAGAACTGCTGGATAGGTACAACGGCTGCTGGTCCTACCCCACAGGTTCGGTACCGAAGCTGATGAAGCACTGGCCATGGCTTTGGGCTGGTTAGAAACTGCCCTGGTGCTTAGGAGAAACTGATGATTCTTTATCTATCTCACCAGTTCTTCACCTCTTAGACACAACGACTGTGGGCCCAGACCCAGATGAAGCACTGGCGCTGGCGTTAGCCTGGCTGGTTGGAATTTGCCTTGGTGATCGGAGAATACCGAGGAAGGGCTATATACTTCATCTTATCCCGCCCCACACCGCATTGTGTAAAATAGTGAATCCGTTTTTTGTCCGATAGGGATTACACACCGTATGTTCAATTTGGATAGA